ACTGCCTTTACTGCTAGCTAACATGAGTTTACTTATGCAATTATGGTCTTATGTGTTTCTTCATCTCCCCCCATGTGAACGCCCCAGACCTCATCTGTCTTATTTACTGCTGTGTTCCCAGTGCCTAGAACAGAGAATGTAGTTATTACTCAATAAACGTTTGTTGGATGAAAACCCTAAGAAACTACTTAGAAGCTTTGGGTAAGAAAACGATGGAGATGTAGAGAAGGAATAATAAATCCCAGGCTATTAGAATAGGTTATAACATACTTCTCAGAAGTCAGCAAACTAAGTACATTTTAAAATGGAGCTGTAGGTGTTATAGGATAGAGCGATGGCTCTCAAATGGGGCAGTTTTACCTTCCACATTGACAATGTCTAGAGCTATGTTTGGTTGTCACAGCTGAGGAGTGTTAACTGACATCTAATGCATTAGAGAGGCCAAGGACATTGCTAAACATCCTGCAATGCACAAGATAGTCCCTCACAACAAAGAATTTTCTGACTCAAAATGTCAATAGACTAAGACCGCCTTGTATAGAGTATAGATTCTGAAGTGTAGAGCAGTTTGTGCCACTTGTTGTGATGTTGGAAGTGTTCTCCATCTGCTCTGCCCAGTACAGTAATTTGGTTATTGAGCACTTCAGATGTGGCTGGTGCAGCTGAGGAACGGAATTAATTATTTAATGTTTAATTATTTTCAATTTCATAGCCTTATGTGGCTAGTGGAGTCCTGGTAAGGCACCATAGGATAAACCTTGACCACTAGGTCTGTTTAAACTACAAGGTTGCTGTAAGTCGGATCTGACTCAGCGGCACTTAACAACAACAATGTGGCTACTATACTAGACAGCATGGTAGAATCTAAAGGACTTTAATTGTATAACTAACATTTTATTGTGTGTTCACATATATATGTGTATGAATGTGTATGTATATATGAGGAGACTTCAAAAAATTCCTGGGAAAATAGAATGAAAAGATAATGGAATTTTTCCACAAACTTTTTGAAACCCCCTTATATATATTCATACTTTGTACACAAGAGTTCATAGTCTTTTCAGATACTGTCCTGGATCCCCCTAACAAAGGTCTCATAGCCTTTCTGTGCTTCTTTTAACAACCCCTCCCTGTCCCGGTGTGATGCACTTGGACTGAAAAGTCAGTTTGAGCCACAGTGTCAGTGGTTCAAATGCATCAGCCACTCCTTGGGAACCCTGTACAGAGTCAGAACCAACTTGACGCCATTTAACAATAACAGCAACATGCCCCTCATTCAGAGAACCTCAGCCACTGGCCAGCACAACCTGGTAGATTGGGCAGAGAAAGGAGCTTCCGGATAGTCAAGGAACAGTGAGAAGCTTGCTGTGATTGGATATACAGTAATTGGATTTCTAGTTTTGCCAGCACCATTTGGTGAAGAGACTCTCTTCCCCAATTGATGTGTTTTGGCCCTTTGTCAGATATCAACTGACCATGTTGTTGTTGTTATGTGCTGAGGAATTGGTTCCGACTCCTAGTGATCCTTGCACAAGATTTCCAAGGAGCTCTGGTAGCGTAGTGGTTACGAATCGGGCTGCGAACCTTAAGGTCAGCCGTTCGAAACTACCAGCTGCTCCGCGGGAGAAAGATGAGGCTTTCTACTCCCGTAAAGATTTACACCCTTGGAAACCCTGTTCAGGGTCGCTATGGGTCGGAACCGACTCGACGGCACTTAACAACAACAACAAAATCTTTACGAGAGCAGAAAGTTTCATCTTTCTTCCCTGGAACAGCTGGTTTGTGAACTGCTGACCCTGAGGTTAGCAGCCCAATTCGTAACCAGATAGATTTACTTCTCGATTCTCTATTCTGTTTCATTGACCTATGTGTCTTTCAGTGTTCCAGGACCAGGTTGTTTTGACTACTGTGGCTGAGTACTAGGTTTTGAGATCAGAAAGCAACAGACCTCCTAATTTGTTCTTCTTTTTCAAGTCATGCTTTGCTTCTTTAGGGTCTCTTTCCTTTCCAGATAAAGTTAATGATTCATCTTTCCATCTCTTTAAAAAAATGCTGCTGGAATCTGTATTGGGACTGATTACTTTGGATTGTTGTGGTTATTGTTGTTGTTAAAGTGCCATCTAGTCAGTTCCAACTCATGGCGACCTTGTATAGGGTTTCTGAGGAACAGCTAGTGGGTTTGAACTGCTGACCTTGCTATTCTTAGTTCATTGCTGATTGTACAGTGCCATACCAGGAGTCTTAGATTGCTTTGGGTACTGTTGACATTTTCACAATGTTAAGTCTTCCTATCCATAAGCATGTTATATTTATTCCTCCATTTCTATAGGTCTCTTTTGGTTTCTTATAGTAGTGTTTTGTATTCTTTGTATAGATTTTCTGTTTCTCTGGTTAGAATGACTCTTAAATATTTCAAGTTTTGGGTCACAAATCAGGTTGCGAACTGCAAGGTCAGCAGTTCGAAACTACCAGCTGTTCCGCAGGAGAAAGATGAGGCTTTCTGCTCCCGTAAAGATTTACAACCTCAGAAACCCTGTACCGGGGTTGCTATGAGTCGGAACCAACTCCACGGCACATAACCACCACCACCTGGTAAATAGTACTGTTTTCTTGACTTCACATTGCTAAAGCTCTCAATGAATTCCAATAATTTTCTTACTGACTCTTGAGATTGTCTATGTATAGGATCGTATCATCTGCAAATAGACTTTTACTTCTTCTTTCCCAGTTTGAATGCCTTTAGTTTCCTTTTCTTACATTATAACTCTGGTTAAGACTTCTAACACAGTATTTTAATAGGAATGGTGATAAAGAATCCTTGTCTGATTCCTGTTCACAAGGGGAATGTCTTTATTTTCTCTCCATTGAGAGTGATGTTGGTTGTTGATTTTGTATATCTGTCCTTAATTATGTTGGGAAATTTCCTTTCTATTATTTTGTGGAGTGTTTTTATCAGGAATGGGTGTTGGATTTTGCCAAATGCCTTTTCTCCATTAGATGATCATGTGATTTTTTTTTTTTCTTTGTTTTACTTATGTGGTGGATTACATTGATTGTTTTTTCTAATATTCAATCATACCTGCATACATGGCATGAATACCACCTGGTCATGAAGTAGGGTTTTTGTTTTGTTTTAGGTTATTGTTGGATTCTATTGGCTAGGATTTTGCTGTGAATTTTTGCATCTGTGTTCATAAAGGACATCAGTGTATAATTTTCAGTATTAACGGTTTTGGTATCAGGATTATGTTTCATAAAATGAACTTGGAACTTTTCCATCCTTTTCTATATTCTGGAATAGCTTTGAGTAGAATTTATGTCAGCTTCTTTCAGAATGTTTGGTACAATCCATCAGTAAAGCCATCTGGGCCCAGACTTTTTAGTTGGAAGTTTTTAATGACTTGATAAATTTCTTCTTTTGTTATAAATCTGTTCAAGTTTTCTACTTCAGTCTGTGTGAGTTTAGGTAGGTCATGTATATCTAGAAATTAATCCGTTGCATCTAGATTTTCAAATTTGTTGGAGTAAAATTCTTCATAATATTCTGTTGTTATCCTTTTTTTCTGTTGATTCTGTTGTGACATATCGTTTCTTATTTGTGTTATTTGCAGCTTCTCCTTTTGTTAGTTATACCAGTGGTTTGTCCATTTTATTAATGTTTTCAAAGAATTAACCTTTAGTCTTGTTGATTCTTTCTACTGTTGTTCTGTTTCATTGATTCCTGCATTAACTTTCAGTATTTCTTTTATTCTGGTAGTTGAAGACTTGCTTTGCTGCTCTTTTTCTAATTGTTAGAGATGAGAAGTTGGATTCAGGTGTTGATTTTGATGCTTCTTTTTTAGTGTGTGCATTTATAACTATAAATTGCCCTCCAAGCACTGCTTTTGCTGTGTCCCAAAGGTTTTGGTATGTTGTATTTTCATTTTCATTTGATTCAAGGAATTATTTTTAATTTGTTCTATTACCAGTAGCTTTTAAGCAGAGTGTTATTGAATTTGATATTTTTTCCCTTGATCCTCTTATTGTTAATTTCTAATTTTACAGCACTGATGCTTTTTAATTTATTGAAGTTTGCCTGTGGCCTAACATATAAGGTCTGTTCTGGAGACTGTTCCATATGCACTGGAGAAGAATATATATTGTGCTGTTGTTGGGTTAAATGCTCTGTATAAGTCTACGGGGTCAAGTTGGTTGATTGTAAGCCATTTTGCTCCATCATGCTTTTTCTTGGTTTATGGAAATCCCCAACCAGGAAAGCAGGGCCCACTGCCTGTGCCACTAGGCGTTTCCCCAACAGTAGCAGAGCCCATGTCCGTGTGTCCTGAAGTGCATTCACAACCTCCACCTCTCAGAGGCCTTCCAGAAATTGAAAAATACCTCCTCATAAAAACTCAGTCCCTGATCTGAGGCCAACCTTGTCATTTAGATCTCTCCAAGTTAAGTTATTTTACCAAACCAGTAAGTAACTGATAAAACGGAATCAGGAACTTGAAAAATCAGGCTGGATATTAAGTAGCCTTGTCTCACCTGGGGAGAAACTATTCCCTTCTCATTTCTGTTTAAGAAGGAAGACCTAGTTTGGTGCTGGTATTTTTTTAATCTTCTAGTATTTGTGAATCTTCCTTAATGACAAACGTAGACCTCAGCACCTTTGTAGGCAACAGTATCTAGTTAGAATTCAATAACATGATTGCATCATACTCAGTTTTCATGTCACCTTCAATTTATATTTTCCGTTTGCATTTACTCCATAAATAGTGATTTAAAGTTTCTTTTTTAGATGTATTTACATTTTAAAATAATCCATTTTGAGAAAAACCGTTAGTGAGTAGTACAGACACTATCTGGGTCTAGCACAAAGATTCATGAATGACCTGAGAAACAGGGCTGTGGGAAGCGATGGGTCCTTTTGTTTGCAAGACTTAAGCGAACTTAGCCTTTTCCTGGGATAGCTATCTAGTTCTGGTGCATGTCTTTATCCTCTGCTTCTCCTCCCAAAGGTTTGTTTATCAAGCAAAAGTTGGGGGTCGCTGGTTCCCAGCCGTCTGTGCCCACAGCAAGAAGCAAGGCAAGCAGGAAGCAGCAGATGCGGCTCTCCGCGTCTTGATTGGGGAGAACGAGAAGGCAGAACGCATGGGTTTCACAGAGGTAACCCCAGTGACAGGGGCCAGTCTCAGAAGAACTATGCTTCTCCTCTCCAGGTCCCCAGAAGCACAGCCAAAGACAGTTAAGACGTCTACTTTTGGTGCTTTTTTTTGGGGGTCCTGCTTACTCCCCTCTGGGTGAAGTCAGCTTTTGCTATCATGTGAATCTCTCCCAGGCTTTAATTAATGTTAGCCTCTAGAGAGCATAAAATGGGAGTAGATGTAAGAGGGACAAAGATGGCTCATAGTCAAGTAGACCATGAGCTCTGTGCCCACTCTGAAGTACAATGTTAGCCTCTAATTAATGTTAACTTCTAGAGAACGTAAAATTGGATGTGAGAGGGATCACAGTCAAGTGGACTGTAAACCCTATGCCCACTCTGAAGTACAGTGTTTGTTGTTGTTGTTAGTGCCGTCGAGTTGGTTCCAACCCATAGTGACCTTGTATAGGGTTTCCAAGGAGCCGCTGGTGAGCTTGAACCGCTGACCTTGCAGTTCAAACAACTTTACAGTCTGGCACATTAGCCGACAGCATGTTAGCCTCTAGTTAACTTTAGCCTCTAGAGAATGTAAAATGGGAGTAGATGTGAGATGGCTCACAGTCATGTGGACCATGAGCTCTATGCCCACTCTGAAGTACAATGGGCATAGATCTGACTCATTCCTGACATCACCTCCTGTCCCCACAGCTTCCTCTCACTGGCAGTACCTTCCATGACCAGATAGCTATGCTGAGCCACCGGTGTTTTAATGCGCTCACTAACAGTTTCCAGCCCTCCTTGCTTGGCCGCAAGATCCTGGCTGCCATCATCATGAAGAAAGACCCAGAAGACCTGGGTGTCGTGGTCAGCTTGGGCACGGGTAAGTAAGGCTTTGAGACTTACTCCCCATGCAGCAGCTCCCACAGTGCACTTCTCCTTCTCCCAGGAGGTAGCAAGAAAAAGATACTCATTTAAAAAAAAAATCTTCTTGATGTGAATTGAATGAAGGTTTACAAAGCAGATCATCAGTGTTACCTTCAACAAGCATATACTTTGCTTCATTATAATGACTGCAATCCCCTCTATGTATCCAACAGTTGACCATATTTACCTCTATTCACTTTGACTCTTGCATTCCCCCATGTGTTCCACTACCTTCGTCTTTCCTCTGCTAACCTCCATCTTGTTGGAGATTGTCTGCCCCATCACCCATGTTAACATGGATCTACCCTCTAGCACATGAATAATTTTCCTCTCACCTGTCACCAGTAACCATCGTAGAAATTTTCTGTGATCAAGAAAACCTTTTGACCTTTTATGATTGACAAATTTCATTATCAAAAAAACTTTTCAAGATGCATCCTGAAGTATAATGCTGCCTGTGATAGAATAATATCCATATGCCTTAGAGGGAAGACTGGTTAATACCATTATTATTCAAATTTACACACCGACCACTAAAGATAGTAATGATGAAATTGAAGAATTCTACCAATTTCTGTAGTCTGCAGTCTGAAATTGATCAAACATGCAATCATGATGTATCAATAATTACTGTGATTGTAGTGCAGAGGTTGGAAACAAAGAGGAAGGATCAATAGTTGGAAAATACAGCCAAAACTAAGTCAGGGGTAGACGGTGGAACAGACCATTAATTGCTCATATGGAAGCTCAGGCTGAAGCTGAAGAAGTCAACTTTAACAAGTCCTCGAGAGCCAAATTTTGACCTTGAGCATATTCCACCTGAATTTAGAAATCATCTCAAGAACCGATTTGATACATTAGATACCACTGACCAAAGCCCAGAAGAGTTGTGGGATGACATCAAGAACACTGAACAGGTAAAAAACAAATGGTCCATTAAAAAGAAATGAAAGAAGGAAAAGACCAAGTGGATGTCAGTAGAAACTCTGAAACTTGCTCTCCAGTGTAGGGATGCTAAAGCAGATGAAAGAAATGAGGAAGTAAAGAGTTGAATAGAAATTTCAAAGGCAGCTCAAGAAGACAAGAGTCCAGTATTATAATGAAATGCAAAGACCTAGAGTTAGAAAACCAAAAGGGAAGAACACACTCAGCATTTCTGAACCTGCAGAAACTGAAGAAGAAAAAAAAAATTCAAGCCTCAACTTGCAATATTGAATGATGTAGATAGCATTAAAAGAAGATGGAATCAATATACAGAGTTCTTGTTCCAAAAAGAAATGGACGATGTTCCACCATTTCAAGAAATAGCACATGATCAAGAGCCAGAGGTATTAAAGGAAGAAGTCCAAGGTACACTTAAGGCATTGGCAAAAGCAATGCAAATTGATGCCGCACTGGAGACACTGACTCATCTAATCAAGAAATTTATAAGACAGCTGCCTAGCCAACGGATTGGAAGAGATCCATATTTGTGTCCATTCCAAAAAAAGGTGACCCAGTGGAATGCGGAAATCATCGGATAATACCATTAATATTGCATGCAAGTAAAATTTTGCTAAAGATAATGCAAAAATGGCTGCAACAGTACATTTACAGGAAATTGTCAGAGGTTTAAGCCACATTCAGACGAGGGTGTGGAGCCAGTGATATTATTGGTGACGTCAGATGGATATTGGCTAAAAGCAGAGAACATCAGAAACATGTTTACCTGTGCTTTATTGACTATGCAAAGGCTTTCGACTTTGTGAATGATAAGCTATGGACAAAATTGCAGAGAATGCGTATTGTGGAACACTTAATTATGCTCATGAGGAACCTGTACATAGACCAAGAGGCAGTCGTTTGAATAGAACAAGGGAACATCAAATGGTTTTAAATTAGGGAAGATGTATGCCAGGGTTGTATTCTTTCACCATACTTTGTATGCCAAGCACATAATCTGAGAAACTGGATTGTATGAAGGAGAACATGGCATCAGGCAAACTCATTAACAATCTGCCCATAGGCAGATGGTACAAACTTGCTTGCTGAAACTGAAGAGAAATTAAAATACTTACTGAAGAAAATCAAAAAGCACGGTTTTCATTATAGGTCGTGCCTCAATTTAAAGAAAACAAAAATCCTCACAACTGGGCCAATAAATAATATGATAAATGGCAAAAAGATTGAAATTGTCAAAGACTTTATTTTGCTTGGGTTCACTACTCATGGAAGCAGCAGAATTGCCTAATGCAATAAGTCATTTGATTTCTCGACTCATTGAAGCTGCATTCAAGAAATCAAATGACTTACTGCATTAGGCAAATCTGTTGCACAAAACCCCTTTAAAGTGTTCAAGAGCAAAGATATGGTTTCTTTGTTTTAATAATTCTCTGCATAGAGTTCATTATGTTTGTGGGGTTTCTTTTTACTTTCATTTCTGTTGTGTTCATGTTTACTAAGTCCTGATTTTCCTTTTCTATTTTGATGTGAAGTTATCCCATAATTAATTAACTTTTTCCATGTTTAAAGCAGTGTTTTATCTTGAAATCTATTTGACTTTCTTGCCATTTGGAAATTTTGTGTCTGCACTATTCCTTGTTTTTTTTTGCTTTGTAATTGACTACATTATAAATTGATATCTCTGACTCCCTATTTTCAGTCTTATAGGTTTGTTTTACTTTAAATACCCCTATAAACACTTGACCTCAAGGTCAGTGTGAACTGCAAGGTTGGTGGTTCAGACTCACCAGCAACTCAGAAACTATACAGGGTCATTATGAGTTGGAACCTACTTGACGACACTTACCAACAGTAACATATTTTGATTGAGTTCTGGGTGGTTTGTCATATATGGTAATCTCAGGTTGTTGTCTGCTGTTGCAGCCCAAAGAATACCTTGTAGCATTTTTTTTTGTAAAGTTAGTCTAGTTATTACAGTTTCCTTTGATTTCTATTTATCTGAAAATGTGCTAATTTCACCGTTGTATTTGAAGAACAGCGTTTCTGAGCAGTATATGATGCTTCTTTGACAATTTTCTCCTTCAGAATTTTGTATATATCGCCCCATTACCTTGTAACCTCCATGGTTTCAGCTGAGAAATCAGAGTTTAGTTTTTTGTTTATCCTTTATAGGTAACTTTTCATTTTTCCCAAGCTGCTCTCAGGATTCTTTCCTTGTCTTTCATTTTGGAAAGTTTGATTATGATATGTCTTGGTGGTTTTCTTTTGGGATCTATCCTTTTAGGGTTCATTAAGCTTCTTGTATGCTTATCTTCTCTTTCATGATGTTAGAGAAGTTTTCTTCTAACAACTTGTCAACAATTTTCTCTGTACTTTTTGTTGTCTCTTCCTATTCTAGAATTCCAGTCACCTATAAGTTATTCCTCTTCATGGTGTCCCACGTAACTCTTAGATTTTTGCATTCTTTTTTCTGATTCTTCTCCTAGCATACTAGTATTGAGACATTTATTTTCAAGCTCACTAATTCCAGCTTCCACTCCTTCAATTCTAGTCAATATACTGTTCATTTCTGAAATCTTAGTCTTAACTGTCTGGATTTCTAATTGCAAGTTTTCTATTGTTTCAAAATTTGCATTTATTTTGTCTGTTGGTTCTTAACAGTGTTTCTCTGAATTTTTCTAAAGATTTTTTTCTGTGTTCTACTTGCTTTCCTCCATCATTCTGTCAATATTTTAAAGGAACCTAAATATCATTCTTTTGAATTCTTTTTCAGTTAGTTCCATTACCTTTTCTTCCTCAGAAATGTCTGGCTCTGCATCTTGGTCATTTGTTTGAGCCATTTTCTCTTGTTTCTTCATATGAGCTAAATTTGTCTGTTGTCTCCAAGACATTGGGGCATTGTCATATCTGTATTTAATTGATTATACATTGATGTGTTCTTGGGCTCTCACCAACTATCTCCTGTGGGTTTAATTAGAAAATAAAAGTGTATACACCATTCTCTGTGTGCTGTTCACGCACCTCAGTTTAGGGTGGGTTTGGCTGGTGTTGGATGCTGTCTGTCGTTGATCAGGTGGTAGAGGGGCTGGTTTTGGCTCTTGCTCAATGGATGGAGCTGCAGAGGGTACGGTTGTGACAGGGCTGCATGTTCACAGTTGCTGTCTCCTGTTGGATGGGAAAAGGGAGAAAACCACTCCCTCATCCCCAACACACACACACAGAATAAACAAGCAAGGGGCCAACAATGAAAAGAGAAAATAATATAGAAAAATAAAAACAGATAGCAACCAGGAAAAAAAAGACTGTAATAACTAAAAAGAGAGGAAAGGGACAGGAAAATGCAATTATAGAAGGGAAAAATAAGAGAGAAATAAAAGGAAGAAATAAAATAAAACACTTAGAAAAACCAGGGTAGGAAAGAAAGATGAAAATGAAAAAAAAAGAGAGAGATGAAAGGAAAAACAAAAGCAAAGAGAAAGAATAAATTCAAGGGATTGGAACGAGAAGAAGGAATAAGCAAACAAAAACAAGAAAACAATGAAAGGGGAAAAGCCAGTACAGTTGTTGGACCCAGTGAGAAAACTCTGGGGGTCTCTGCCAGCCATGTAGCTCATGGGGAAGGTGTAGGAGGGGTGTGACAGTGAGGTTCCTGTTGACCTCAGTGTTCTCTATGTCCAGAGCACTGAATCTGGAAGCAGTTGGAGGCCCTTGATGAAGCTCGTTCCCAGTGTCTGTTAGGACTACAGGGCAGATGGGGACAGGGAGGCTGGATATGAGGGTTTCTGCTAGATAATGCTGATCTGGTGACTACAGGTTCTGTAGCCGAACCCTCCTGAATCCAGGCACCAAAGCAGCATAGATGGCTCCCTCCTCACACTGGCGTGGCCCACAACCATGTGGCTCCAAACACCTGGAGAGCAGGTTGTTCTGTGTTGGGGATAGATGAGGGTGGGAGCTGGCTACACCTCTGGTGTCCAGAGGAGATTTACCTGTGAGAATCTCCTCTGACTGGTCACCTTCTGTTTCCAAAGCTGCTCCTAAAAGTTCAAGATGGTCGCACTACATCTGGCCGGCCGTTCACCAGTCTCCCTCTCTCACCGTCCCTGCCCAGCTTCTCCTCGTAGCAAGCACTCACTCCACTCCTCTAACCTTTCTTCTGAAGTTCAGCGTTCCAGAATTTTCATCTGTGCCCGTTTCATTTGGTCTCTTGTATCTTCATTGTAGAGAGTCCATGCACCTGCCTCATCCACTGTCTTGCTAGAAATCCCATGGGATATGCTTTATAGTTCATTTGAGCATTGGTTCATTCAGAGTACGGAATGAATTCTTATTTCCTAGGGAAGAGAACGTGGGAATCAAAGAGCCGAAACACTGAAACTGTTCCTGGTTTCGAATCTTAAGAATAAACAGCCTTCTTACCTTAGTCATCAAATTCCCTTTGGAAATTTCACATTGGCTTTTACCTCTTTCCCAGGGAATCGCTGTGTGAAAGGAGATTCTCTGAGCCTAAGGGGAGAAACTGTCAATGACTGCCATGCGGAAATCATCTCCCGGAGAGGCTTCATCAGGTGAGCCAGCAGCCTCGCTCCTTCTCTCCTGCTGCCCGGGACCCCACAGTCACCACCAGCCTCTCGGAAGATCCACTGGAATCAGCAGGCCATTGACCCCAAGGGCTAGCCTTTGCTTTTAGCCAGTCCATTTGAACCTGCCGAATGCAATCGATCCCCTCTGTGACCCAGACTGCCTCCCGCCTGCACAGCTTGTTTTTAAGTGTGCTCCCTTTTCCAGCAAGTTCTGCTTCATTCCCTCTTCTAAAAACTCCAAACAACCTCTGGGTCCCCAGGGCCCTGGGTATGAGGCAGCCTTCCATCTCCCACTGCTCCTGCCATCTCTCTCCTTCACTTCACCTTTTCTTTAATTTATGAAAGGAGAGCCTGGGGAGAAGCAGATGCCTCCTAGAGTCCTGGAGTCCATTGGTTCTGCCCTGGGATCCCTGTAGCCACCAGAGCAAGGACCCTGGATTTTGTCAGCTATGAGACTGACCTGAAAGGCTAGCTTCCTTTTGTGAAATGCGAGGTCTCCCGTGGAGAATGTCTCACCACCCTGTACTTCTTTCAGCCTGAGAAACTTTTCCTCTCACACAACCTCAGATAGAGATCAGTTATAGAAGACATTGCTGCTTTTAGAAATGAACCTTCTTTCTTAACCAGACTTTGTTTTTATAGGTTTCTCTATAGTGAATTAATGAAATACAACTGCCAGACTGCAAAGGACAGTATTTTTGAGATTGCTAAGGGAGGAGGAAAGCTCCAAATAAAAAAGACAGTGTCGTTCCATCTCTACATCAGGTTTGTACTGTCTAACAATGCCAGAGCCAGCCTCCTGGCCTCCAGGGTTAAGCATATGAATACTGTCCTCACCCTAAAACCCGGCCTTACTTCACAGGCCCCACTCAGCTCTGCGTTTGTGGTCTAAACCCTGGTGTGGGGTGGCTCTCACATGCACTCCTACCTACCTCCAACACCCCATGGCAGGTGTCAGAAAGTCTCTTGCATCCTCCATATGCAGTTGTTTCTGTGCCCCAGGAAAGTGGCAGGAAATGTCTGCACAGGTGAGTGCTGATGGACACCCCTCTCTTGCAGCACAGCCCCGTGTGGGGATGGTGCTCTCTTTGACAAGTCCTGCAGCGACCGTGCTGTGGAAAGCACAGATTCCCGCCACTACCCGGTCTTTGAGAATCCCAAACAAGGCAAGCTTCGCACCAAGGTGGAGAACGGTGAGTGGTACGGGTCCTGTCTTCTCTCCTGCAAGGCCCCAAGCCAGGCACAGGGACCTGGGCACGACTGCTGCGCTTTTGCCATTAGTTGCTGGGAAACAAGAGTTTTTTACAGGCAGAGGGAACATCTGGTTAAGGGGAAGAACTGTGAAGACTGAGATTCCATTATGAATACATTCATTTGTAAGACCTAGGAGAACTTCAAGGAGCCCTGGTGGCACAGTAGTTAATCAGAGTTAGACAGTTGGACTCCTCTAGCTGCTCCTCAGGAGAAAGCTGTTGCAGTCTGCTTCCATAAAGATGTACACCTTAGAATGCTATGGAGCAGTTCTGCTCTGTCCTATAGCATCACTGTGAGTCAGAATTGACGTGCCATCATGTTTGGGGTTTTGTTGGGAGATCTTTAAATCAGACAAAGGTAGAGAGAGGTCCCTTCTGGAGCTCAGAGGAGAGATGATGGCTGGAAATAAAAATTGGAGAGCCATCCTCCCATAGCTGGGCTACACTATACAGCTATACAGGAGAAAGAGAGAAAATTCAAAGAAAGTGATGGAGAACTAAGCCCTGAGGAATGGGCAGGTAAAAATGCTAAGTATTCCATTCCCTTCCTGTCTGGCTGGCTACTAATTCTACTCCTTGTCCACTAGCTCTCTCCCTTCCAATGCTTCCTTCCTGTGTCCTCACTTCCTCTCCTGTTCCCTTCAGGCCATTCTTCAACAGTCATTAGCAGCATCCTCCAACACAAATCAGATCTTGTCACTTCCCTGCTCAAAACCCTATAGTAGAAAAGAGTTAGCCTATGACCTAGAGCATTTCACGTCCAAGAGAACTGAAGAGATACATCCATATAAGAACTAGTACACACGTGTTCACAGCAACCTTGTTCCTAATAGCCAGAAAGCGTAGCAACCTCTATATCCATTAACTTATGAATGGATAAATGAACTGCAGCATATCCATCCACTAGTCATAAAAAGGATCAAGGTGTCTGGTACATGCTACTGTATAGATGAACCTTGAAAACAGGACACTAAGTGAGAGAAGCCAGACACAAATATGAAGTGTCCAGAGTAGGCAAATACACAGAGACTAAAAAGTAGATTAGTGGTTGCCAGGGGTTAGGGGCTGGAGGAGTTAGAGGAAATGGGGAGTTACTGCTAATAAATACAAGTTTTCCTTTGGGGGTGATGACATGCTCTAAATTACGATGGTCACACACCCTGAATATTCTAAAAATCATTCAGTTGTACACTTTCAATGATGAATTATATACAACGTATATCTTACTAAAGATTTCATTTTTTAAAAAAACAAACAAAACACCCTATAGTGGCTTCCTCCTGCATTCCGCATGAAAGCAAGACCTGCCATGAGCACGCAGGCCCAGTGTCAGCCCTGTCTGGCCCTTTTGTTATTGCCCCTTGCTGCCCCAGGGCCTTTGCCTTTGCTGTTTCTCTCTCTGTAACACTCTTACTCCAACTGCTCCTGGTCCTCATTCATGTGTCAACACCCCTGTCTGCCCTGTCTGAGGTGCTGCCCTCCATCATAGCTCCCTCGAAGCTGTCAGAACACTATTATAATCTCAAATTCCTGCATCTCTTGTGGTGTACTTGTTTATTGTTAGCTTCTTTCCTTTTTTATCCCTTCACCCCATGAGACATTCCTTGAGGACAAGAATCTTGGTTTTGCTCACTGTTATTACCCAGCACCAAGAATATGCCTGGCACATAGTAGGTACTCTGGAATCTATGCCCAGTGAGTAGCCTGTGGCCCAAGTCTGAGGAGTTTAAACACTAAACACTACACCAAGACATAGTCTGGTCCTGTGGATCTGACCCAAGTCTCTAACACAGGGGAAGGTACAATCCCAGTGGAGTCCAGTGATATCGTGCCTACGTGGGACGGCATTCGGCTTGGGGAGAGACTCCGTACCATGTCCTGTAGCGACAAAATCCTCCGCTGGAACGTGCTCGGCCTACAGGGGGCGCTGCTGACCCACTTTCTGCATCCTGTGTATCTCAAATCTGTCACCCTGGGTAAGGGACATGGAATGCCTTGGGAGCTGGAACCAGTCTGTCCTCCTAGTGCCCAAAGCCCCGCAAATGGTACGCTTCATTGTCAGGCATTAACATGATGTGTCCCCTTTTCTAAGAGTATTTGACTCTGTGGCCAGTGCTTGGTGCTGACTGCCCAGTCGGCTGTGGTGGGAAGATCAGTTTAGACAGCGAGCTAAGAAAAGACATGGCAGGCAAGTCTTTTCAAGGCGGGCAAAAGAAAGCCAGCAGCTTAAAACTTCAGTGTCTTTGTTCTCCGTAGTTCTTGGCCCGACCTGGACCTTTGCATATACTGTTTTGGTATTTGATGCCCCCATCCACATCCTGGGAGCCACTGTCAGAAGGTGCTTCCTAGCCAGGGAGCCATTTCTTGGTCCTGATAACCTTATGAGCCTCAAACTACTCCCCACCCCACTGCCCCTGCCTGTTAGCCGCACAGAATGCAATCACAGGCATATGCATTTTTGTACTCAGGTTACCTTTTCAGCCAAGGTCATCTGACTCGTGCTATTTGCTGTCGTGTGACAAGAGATGGGAAGTCATTTGAGGACGGACTACGACATCCCTTTATTGTCAACCACCCCAAGGTACTATAATCCCATCTGTTTTCCCCTTGACCTTTTTCTCCCCATTTCAAGCAATCCTGTCAGTAGAGTAAAAATGGTGTCCTGAGAACACGGGTTTACCCTTTCCTCTTTTTGGATGGCAAGGGCTTTCCTTTTCTGAGCCTGGAATTTATTTGAATAGAGGTGGGGTTAGAATATCCAGACTCTGCTTCTTGTTAAGTGCCATCGAGTTGGTTCCAATTCATAGCTACTTTATATAGGGTTTCCAAGGAGTGACTGGTGAATTTGAACCACCAATCTTGTAGTTCAAACTGACCTTGCAGTCCAGTGCTTTATCTCACATGTCAATCCTAACTCATAGCGACCCTGTATAGGGTTTGGGGGACTGTAAATCTTTATCAGAGTAGGCAGCCTCATCTTTCTCCTGCAGAGCAGCTGGTGGTTTTGAACTGCCAACCTTGGGGTTAGCAGCCTAATGCTAACCCTACAGCTGCTAAGTGAAGGGGAAAGATGGAGATCCCACAATTTCTGTTTCCTAAGAGTCTTGAGTCCTGCTTCTGAAAGGTTTCCATCTTCCTCTCATTGCTCCTGGGATCTCTAGGTGGGCCGAGTCAGTGTATATGATTCCAAAAGGCAATCTGGGAAGACTAAGGAGACAAGCGTCAACTGGTGTTTGGCTGACGGCTATGACCTGGAGATCCTGGATGGGACCAGAGGCACCGTGGACGGGTAAGGAGAAACACAAAGCCATCCTTCTGCCCTGACTCACAGGTTCTCCAGGGCTAACCAACTCTTTACCCTACCATGGGCACCCTTCTTTCCTGGTGTCAGGTGAATAATGAGTGTTTTTATGTCTCTAGGCCACGGAATGAATTATCCCGGGTCTCCAAAAAGAACATTTTTCTTCTATTTAAGAAGCTCTGCTCCTTCCGTTACCGCAGGGACCTACTTAGACTCTCCTATGGTGAGGCCAAGAAAGCTGCCCGTGACTATGAGACAGCCAAAAACTACTTCAAAAAAAGCTTGAAGGACATGGGCTATGGGAATTGGATAAGCAAACCCCAGGAGGAAAAGAACTTTTATCTCTGCCCAGTATAGTAGGATCTGGGACTGAGTGGTTGGGGGTGTTCACACTGGGATGAAAGAGACGTATTTGTAGTATTCCTCATCACACTGGTCAAAGGTTTTGAGGATTTTCTTTTGGTTTTTTAATTTTTTAAAAAGACGGAACAAAGACTGCTGACACTGAGAATTTTGGGTTCCTGTTTATCCTGTTTTCTTTGGAATTGCTAGGCAGGGTCTGGCCAGGCCCCCTTCTGCTTTCTCAAGTGAAGAAACAGAGACCTAACAGGAGAGAAAAATGGGTTATCTTTTCACCCAGAGCATAAGTATCTGCAGCCATTTCCTCTTAAATTTTGTTCTGTTTTGTTTTCCAGTTCTTTTAAGTTTGTCTTTGCTACACTGACCTCTTGTGGTCTTGATGAGGTTCCAGTCGAGTCTTTGCAAATCATGTTAGGGACGACGGATGGTTTCATTGGTGGGTTGCACGGCCCCTCTACTTCCTTCCACCCCTTCTGAGATTCCTTCCTTGTGATCATTAAGTTTCTCTTTTGCCACCTGAGAGAGTCAAGAGATGAACTTTAAAATATTTGATGAAACATTTACAAGGGCAGGAGTTGAAAACTGCAGTCAGTTAATTCCTGGTGCCATTGGGTTGGGAGTCTGCAGATAACTGCTCTGTGATCTTTGGATCTTGCACTTTAGCCAGTTGGGAGGGGCCAAGAAGCAAGAAAACCTGATGCTCAGGAAGGGCACCCTCTCCCCAGGCAGCAGGGATGCCTAGAACTAGCCGGACTAGGCCAAAGGAGCTGTCCAAGCAACAACCACTTCCCAGGGAGCACAGACCTGGACTAGCGCCAGCCCAGCTCCCAGCTGCTCCTCCGAAAGTATTCCTAGGAACTTGGCCTGCCAACTGAGGGAGCAGGGCCACAGACCCAACCATCTGGCAGAAAAAAACCAGGACAGACCCTCGAGGGCAAATCCCCTCTGCTCAGATAATCAGAACTTAGCAAGAATGAGAGAAAAATCATGTTGGTCAGACACTGTGCCACCCGGCATCTTTCTCCTGACAGTGACCCAAGGGAAATCAACTGATAGGTCACAGGGAAATTAGAAGTTTTTTAAAAGAATGAGTAGATGCTGATTCTTGCCTGCTACAGATAACCTGGAATTGCACAGATTTTAAATTCAGATGTACTTTTCCATTTATCCAAGTGCTTTGGTTTACTAATGGATTCTGAAGTTTGGCACATGCGTAAGGCAGACTGTGGATCTTGAGTCCCGCTTGCTGAGGAATCTTTGTCTGTCATATGTCAAGGTAGTAGCTGTAGTGAAAGGGCAGGTTGTCCTCAAACTCTGTGAGGTGAAGCCATTTGTCTGCACCTCAACCTGATGTTGACTCCCGGTCAGAGCCCTTGGCCTCTCTGTGGAGTCTGGCTCTGCTACCTCCAGGGCCTGACCTGCCTCTGTCCTCTAGATGCGTACCTTCACCTGTGAACATGCTGAGTCACTGCTCGCCCTCAAATGCTCCCCTCTACCACCCCCACCCTGCTGACCCTCGGCAAACTACTGACTAGTTCAGCCCTCTGTCACACCTCTTCAACAGTAGATGTGTCCACATGTGCACTTTTATTCTTTGTGGCTATATACCCTCCATTTCTTTTGACCAAAAATTGACCAAATTAAGACCCAATTTTTTTTAGAATATATTGGGGATGTCCTTGTAGAACACCAAAGTGTACCAAGGAGCTGGTCGGGAAACTGTGCCTGTCTTCTGGTTGGAAGGGGCCTGTTCCCATTGGTCTGCCTCTGCTAAAGTTTAGGCCCCCTGAATCTGGAGCAGTGAGGTCGTGTGGTTCCCACGCACCGGAAGGAAGCTCATCCCTTCAGGCTGCAGACTGCAGGATCTTCCCAAGGGCTGGTTCCGCTGATTGTCTTGAGCATTAGTATTGTCTGCAGAGCTCTGACTGGCCAGCACCTCTTTAACCAGGAGCACAGGAGCTCTCAAAAGATCAGAGCCCCACTTGCCCCCCAGACTTCCAGTATTGTGTCTGCTGTAGGAAAAGACAAGGCATCCCTGAGCTCTACATGTCTGTTGGAAGTAAGCCTGGGCCAGGCCCTGCCCCACCACATCCTCTCTCCCCACTGTCATACAAGATGGGGGAGGTGAAGCTCCTCCCAGAGGGGTCTGTCACTCTTCTGTCAAATCTATTTTTAAAAATTGGGACCCCCCCCCTTTTTTTTAAATGAGTTTTGTAGTTGATTTGTCTGAACTGTGGCTATTGTGCATTCTTTGAATAATCACTTGTAAGACTTGTTGCCGCTTGAAGCTATTTCCTTTACTCTTGTTGAAGGGACTTGGTTGGTTTTTGGGGTCTTGGTAGTGACTCCAAGAGCAGAGTAGGGAAGAACCCAAGTGTAGACTTGGGCACCATGATGGCTGCAGTCCAGTTTTATAATTCTGCTTTTATGTGTCTCTTGATATCAGTAACAATATACATTCCTCATAAATAAAACACTGAATTGTTAGAAAGCCTCAAACCTTGATTTCTTAGGGGAAGAGGGTACATGGAAACCAGCTGCAATTGACTGGAGAGCAGTAGAGAGGCCCCTACACCCATACTAAGCCCAGTCCATGGACCTTCTTGGGCAGCCAAGCTCAAGCGGTGCTGGGCGTGTGTCAGCCACACCAGAATACCTTCCCAGGCCCCCTCAGAGTCCACCACTAAATATTTTGTCCTGGGGACTAGGTTTATAAGATTTCAAGGCCCAGAATAAGGAAACATCCCTTGAAACAACATCACAGACTATATAAACAGATCTAGGTCTCCCTGAAGTGGCCTAGTGGTGCAGTGATTAAGTACTTGACAATGAACTGAAACACACCAGCTGCCCTGCAGGAGAAAGATGTGGCATCTGCTTCTATGAAGATTGTTAGATTGTTGTTTTTAAGTGCCACTGAGTCGGTTCCAACTAATAGCAACCCTGTATAGGGTTTCTGAGGAGCAACTGGTAAGTGAACCACTGACCTTGCGGTCCAGTACTTATCCTACAGCACCACACCAGGATTCCTCCATAAGGATAACAGCCTTGGAAACCCTATGGGACAGTTGTACTCTGTCACTATGCATCAGAATCCACTTGATGGCAGTGGGCTTGGGGGTCGTTCTCCTGAGGGGTACTTTTCTGTCGCACTTGCTTGCTGCTTTACCTACGGGATTTGCATGTTTCCTGGACTAAGACTAGCTTGGCTGCAGTCTTAAGTGGACAGGCCATGTGCATTCTGCTTCATTCATGGCATCTGATTCTCTCTCCATCCTGAATTTCAATGAGAACGCACCACTTTTCTGTAAGGCTCATCCTTGACCTTAGAAAAATACCAACTGGCATGAAGTACCTTAAGTCAAAATGAAAGCTCCTGCACCTAGAATCCTCTTGTCAGACAAAAACTCTGAGTGTGACAGCATGTTTGGGGCTCATCAAGTCAGGCCTAGAACTCTGCATGGGTGTCTTTCTTAGTTTGTTAAGAAATACAGTGCTGGATGAACTGAGTATGCCAAGATGTACCAGAGGCCTCAGCATCTCTGCTTTCTGTTTTCAGGCAGTTCCTGTGTCCACCTAGAGAGGAACTGAGAATGCAAGTCTTTTTGGAAGTGGCCAGTTCCTTTATTAATACCTAAGGCAGATGCCCAGACTGTCCTTCCCACCACCCTATGTGCTGCAAGGCAGGACTGCCCTATGGGTCACAGGGTTTGTCATCAGCATACACTTACATTGTTGGTCTCTCTTCCTTTCATCCAGGGGGCCTACAGTTTAATACTGTTTCCAGAATTTGGGCCCACGTCAAACCAGTGTTCTGAGGGTGGGCCTGGTCTCCATGCAGGCTGCAGCCTTGACTTCTGTGCCATCTTTGCCTCCCATGCTCTTTCCACAACAGGAAGCCCAGCCATTTGGCCATTTCATTTTCATCTGGTAGATGTGTAAGTCAACAAATCACAATAACTCAACAGCAGACTGTTACCACTCACCATTTCTTTAGATTCCTATAATATCTAACCTTTCCTGAATCTAATTTTGCCTGCCCTCTCCCTTTCCCTCTATTTGCTAACTCTGGCCTGGGAGGTTCCCCCTTATCCCCACAAACAACAGAGCAACAAGACATCTTTGGAAACATCCTTATTTACAAGAATCTTGCATTCCTAACGAGTCTGGCCTGAGCTGGCCTAGATCATTACAAATATTCCAGATGTACAGACAGAGGGGTCAAGGCCAAGGTGGGGGAAGTGGGTATCCCAAGGGTAGATGAGTAAGGTGTCCTAATGGTTCCTAGACCTACAGTCCTTCAGGAACCATGTGATTATCACATTGGTCTCTTGGGCCTATTGGGATGAATATTAAAAGGTGGTCCCCATTCTCTATCCACTCCAGGTCATGACCAGGGGTTGAGTAGCTGGAACCCAGTCCACTCTGCTTTAGGAGAAAAGTCTCTGGATGTCTCTCACTTTCTTCCCAAGGAGCTCTCTTCCTACAGTCCACAAAGGCCCCAGAAAAAGCATGGACTTTGGGGTTACCAGCTATATCACTTGGATCCTCTGAGCACCATTTTCTGTAAACCTGAGATCCCTTCCCCATGGGATTGCTTTGAGGACTAAAGATAGTGAAGAAACTGGCTCAGAGCAGACCTGGTAAACACGAGTTAGAACTGATAGGAGGAGAAAGCAGGAGCTGGGCCAAAACCCTCAAGGCTTCCAAAGAGCCTTCTCTATTTCCTGAGAGGGAAATGATCTTGCCCTACCTCTACAGATAGCCTTCTTCCTCTGCAGAAAACTCCATCTGGGGTAACCCAGGCCTTGTTTGCTTTTAAATTTTCAATAACTTGGTACAGCTGTTTCAGTCCTGGATACCTCACAGCCAGGTAGCTGCTGCCTTCCCGCTGCTCTGCCAACTGTCAGGAACAGAGCCTGATTTCCTCACTGCCCTCCTAAAGCTGCCTCAGCCTGGGGTTTCAGTTCGCCTCTCACTCTCCAGATCTGGAGTCTCGGGACCACAGCCAGCACTAAGCTGGGTGCCTGATTCTGTCCAGTGGCAGTCCAGCCATGGGAAGGAGGCCAAGAACTGCCCTGACAGCACCAAAGAAAGGACACAGGACCCAGAGTGGGAGACACCCTGGTTTCCCAGAGTCCTCGAGTGCCCTTGAGGGGGAGAACAATGAGCCCTCCCTCACATCTGCCATGCTGGGATCCCTTCCTGTACTCTTAGCCTGTGCTGTGTGTCTGCTCCCACCGTCAGCACCAGCTCCCCACCTCCACCAGGCTTAGAGAAACAAGTGGCCCAGCTGGGCCCCAGAGTACAGAATGGCCTGTTTCAGAACCAAGCCCCTGCTGTGCTCCTGGCAGACTGACCCCTCTCTGACCCACCATCTGCTGCCCTGCACTGAACACAGGCGGGAACCACAAACTGGGGGGGAGAGGTCTGTTTCCTGGAGTAACCAGCCTGGTGGCCTCCAGCTGTCTCCTGGGAGCAGTGTCAGGATACACCCTCCAGGGATTCCCAGGACAGGGAACGCTGTGCTTTCTGGGGAGTTCTTGGCAGCCACAGGCCTGTTCATCTGTCCTTCCAAATTTCTGCTTCAGTGCTGCACAGATTTGGTCAGGAGAGACAAATGGAGCCGGAGCAGGAAGGATGGAACCTCAAATCAAAGGAACGAGAGAGGCAGTGCTGATGGGGCAGCCTCAGCCTCCGCGGCCCTCCACAGCCACTTCCTCCTGCCCAGCTCTGCTGCCAGCACAGAGGCTGGGTCTGCTTAAAAATGGAACTCTTGCTTTACTTCCTTCATACAAGCAGTCTATCCACAGTGGACAGAAAAGCAGGGCACTCACTCCAGAGGGATGTCAGAACAAGGGAGGAAGATCAGGAAAGTCTAGGGGGTACAGAGACTTCACTGGACCAGAAGGGGGCCTGGGGCTTGGGCACTGGGCCTCTTAGAAGGAAGAATTATGGGGTTGTGGTGGACGTCTCCCAAGAGCCTGTGCCCTCAATGCCAGGCAAAGCCCTCTGCCCCCTGAGGTACATCCAACCCCACTGCTCTCCATTCAAGCAGAGTGGATGCCTGGTCCCATGCAGGACTCTCCTCACTTCACCCTTCTAAGCCACCACCGTATGAGGTCAGCCCAGTCCTACCCGTAGTACAGTTTGCCTTCCTGGAGGCAGCACATGAATTTCCTCCCTTCTGGGCTCCTCTCAATCTCTGGCATCCTTGCTATCACCACTTCTTAGCTTTCTTCCTGCGCCTTCACCGCTATTGCCTGACTTGGTATATGAGGCAAAGGACCAGAACACGATGCAGCTGGTCTAGCCTCCAGGGTGGAGCTGGCTGTGTGGGTGGGGATGGCTCCAGGTGGATGGATCTCTGAGGGCAACACCCCTCTTCCTGGTAGTTTATGCATCTCTCCTTCACCCGACACTTCTGTTCCAGAGGGCAAAGGGGTGAAGGAGCGGGGAGCAGGCGGGGACCTCACTTGGAGCTGGGAGCTGAGTGGAGGAAGGTGGTGGTGGTATAGTTTTGGAAGAGAGGCTGCAGGAACATGCCGATGGTGCCAAAGACACAGACGAAGACAAAGATCCAGAGGAACAGGCGATCAATCACCATGGCAACGTACTTCCAGTCCTCGCTCACCTGGATGGAGGAGATGGAGGAGGCCTGGGTATCAATCACATGGTTCAGCAGGGCATGGAATGGGTATATACCCCCCTCACTCTTCCCTTAGGGGACTTAATTAAGGCATGATTCTGATTTTGCCTAGTAGCCCCACTAAGGAGCCCTGGTGTGCTGTAGGATAACTACTGGACTGCTAATTGCAAGGTCTGCAGTTGAAATCCAACAGGTACTCTGGGAGAAAGATGAGACTTTCCACTCTCGTTTATGTCTCAGAAACCCTTTCCAGGGAAACTAGGAGTCAGAACTGACTCAGAGGGTTTATTTTGGGGTTTGAGTAGTGGCTCCACTATCTTCAGGGCCTATCCAAACTCCAAATTTTGGAATAAAGACCTACTCATAGCAAATACGACCTTAAAGAAGTTACTGGACCTGGAGGCTCAGAATCATGGTCTCAGGGGACACCATGGTCATGGTCAATTGGCATAACAGTCCACAAAGACAATGTTCTATATACTACTTCGGTGAATAGCAGCTGGAATATAAAAAGCTCATGAGTGGTTATCTAAGGTACAAATATCGGTCTGTCAGAGGAAAGAAGAGTGAAGAAATTCAAATACACATGGAAACAGTCCAACGGACTAATGTATCAGTTCGAATCTATCAGCCTTTCCAAGAGAGAAACATGAGGCTTTCTTCCATAAAGATTTACATCCTCAAAAACCCTATACAGGGTCAGTATGAGTCAGAACTGACGCCATGGCACGTAACCTCCACTACCATAAGGGGAACAGTAACACTAGGAAGAAACACACACCTTAGAATAATCAACCAATTGAGATCAAAAGGGCAGCTTTTACCAAAGCAAGGGGTGAGAAGGAGGAGGAAAACAGGGGAAGTGAGTTAAGTGATACTACACTGTGGGGTTGTAATCAATGACGTGAAACAACACACGTGTATGAGTTGTTAAATGGAAAATTGACCTGCTCTATAGACTTCATCCAATTCACAATTTTTAAAAAAATCATTTATATAGAGAGTTCTAGTATGGCACTGGACTGCAAAGTCTGAACCACAAGGTCAGCGGTTCAAGCTCACCAGCCACTCCTTGGAAACCCTATACAGGGTGGCTATGTTTTTAAGTGTTGTCAAATAGGTTCTGATTCAATGACCCTGTATATGCTTTCTGAGAAGTGACTAGTGGGTTTGAACTGCTTAGCTTGCAGTTCGAACCAATTTTGCAGTCCAGCGCATTAACCCATAGTGCCACACCAAGACTCCATATATACACATAATGTTGGGAATTCCCATCCTCCCTTTCGCTACCTATGAACTCATGAACATTCTTCAAAGTCCAAAGTCTTCACTTCCTCTATGAAGACTTCCCTGACCTCTGATCAGAATGAGTCTGTCCCCTCTGGATTTCCTCAATACTGTGTAGACATCTCCATTACAGTATTTTTACTGTACTGTGTTTTCATTTCAATTTGCATGTCTGTCCCTGGACTAAGCTATGAGCTCCTGAACCACAGGAATCCTGTCTGATTATCTCTGTAATCCTGGTGCATAGGGAACACAGGGTGCTGAGTTAGTGACTAAATGGCTGCCTCTGCAGACCTTGCTGTTTATATAACTGCTCAGGAAGCCCCATGCAACAGCACCTCCTTGGGCATGGAGGCCCAGAGGATAATGACTGAGTTCTGTTGTTGTCGTTAGGGGCCATCGAGTCCGTACCGACTCAGCGACCTTATGCACAGCAGAACAAAATCCTGGGCCAACCTCATTATTGTTGAGGCCAGGATGGCCAAACTTCATCTCTCTTACTTTGGACATATTGTCAGGAGGGACCAGTCGCTGAAGATCATGTTTGGTAAGGTGGAGGGTCAGAGGAAAAGAGGAAGACCCCCAACGAGACGGATTGGCAAAGTGGCAGCATCAATGGGCTCAAGCATGACAAGTGTGACTGAGTCCTAGATGTAAGCAAATCTGTGGGGTTTAGAGCCAACCATTGGGTCTGCAGGAACGTCCAGCCTCTCAGAGCTGCTCCACTCCTGCCTGAGTCTGGAGCATTCAGTCAGGTCCGACCAGCTCAAGGGTGCAGGAGAGGCAACTACACACCTTCATGTAGTCATCAGCCAAATGCATTCATGTCGCAAGTGTGCCTACTGTATACCTGACACGATGTTAGGCACGGGGCATATGACTAGAGCAAGACAGCTGGGACTCCTGGTGAGGCTGTAGGATCAGCACTGGACTGTGAATCACAAGATTAGCAGTTTAAACCCACCAGCTGCTCCTCAAAAACTGCACAATCATTTGAGTCAGAACTGACTTGACAGCACTTAACAAGGGAGTGTGATGGCTCCACAGGATAAACACTAGACTGAACCACAAGGCTGGCGGTTCAAGCCCACTAGTTGTTCCATGGAGGAAGATGAGGCTTTCTGCTCTCGAAAAAAATGTAAAGCCTTGGAAACCCTACACCAGGCCGCTATGAGTTGAAACCAACTCCACAGCACTTAACAACAAGAAGGGAGATGGATGCAAAAATAAAAACTAAAATAGTTACACAATGGTGGTTGTTTATTGTTAAGTGCAGTGGAGTCGGTTCTGACTCATAGCAACCCTGCATAAGGTTTCCAAGGAGCAGCTGGTGGGTTTGAACCACTGACCTTGTGACTAGCAGGAGTCCTACACAATGGTAGGTGCTTACAAAGAAACAAATGACAGAGATGAAGAAATGGAAGGAAGACATACTTTAGAGTGTGGTCTAGAAAGGCCTCTTGGAGGAAATGACATTTAGGGTCAACTGTGAGGAGTGAGAAGGAGACAGCTATGTATGTCAGGAGAAAGGAACCCAAACTGAGGGGCATTCAATTGCTTACACCCTTCAAAACTGTTCATACCATGAAAGACAAAGCTGAGGAACCTGTGCAGAGGCTGAAAATCTTTACCAGAGCAGAGAGCCTCCTTTTTCTTCTGTGGAGCAACTGGTGGATTTGAACTGTTAATCTTGTGGTTAGCAACCCAATAGGTGACCCACTACACCACCAGGGCTCCAAAGAGACATGACAACTAAATGCGATTTGAGAACGTGGAGGACTGCAGGAGGGAAAGGCTGTGAAAAACAACACTAGCACAACTGGCAAAATTTAATTATGGACTGTATATTAGATAAAGGTATTGAAGCTAAATTTCCTGAATTTGATCATTAAACCAGGGTTATGCAAGAGGATGTCCTATACTTAGGAGACAGATGCTGAAGTATTTGGGATAGAGGGTCACAATGTCTGCAACTTCTCAACAGAGTAAAAAATAATAGTAAAGAAACATTTAAGAGAAGAAAAACACTTCACAGACAGGGACCCATATGTACAAAGGCTGTGAGTGGAGCAGATGAGAAGGGACATACATAGTCACATGAAGAGGTGGGAGGACATTGTGTATATCTGGATGGAGGCCCACAGGGACTCTGCCCTGGTGGCCTGGAACCAGCGGGGGAGAGGGGGAGATGAGGATGAACCACTAAGTGGATGGTGATACTATTTACTCAAAGATGGAGGGACTGGGGAAGAGCAGGATGGTAGGGGAGGACTAGTGATCTGTTAAGGAACTGTTACCTCTGAGATGCCTGTGCAGCATCCAAGTATATAACTGCAACCTCAGCACTTAGCTCACTCAGTGCACATAATGCATGAGTGGACTGCAATGGGGCTAGAGATGGCGACACAAAGGTGAGCCCCTCTACCTTTGCACCCCAGAACCTCAGATGTGGCCTGAGTGCACTGGGGGGCGGTTCCTGCCTTCTTCTCCTCCAGCCTCAGGACCATAAAGAACTTTTCCTCTCTCAGGACCATAAAGAGTCTAATCTTGTGCCCTACTAGAGATCAGAAATGGAGGGGCTGTCAAGCCATGGTCCACAAACAATAGCGCAGGAAGGAGACTGACCTTCCTCGTGCCTAAACTGGAAACCTAGTCAGTCACCATGACAACAGCTGACCATTGGCCTGGAATCAGCCAGGTATATGAACACTGACCACCAGAGGGGTTGCTGCAGCCTAAAGAAAGGGGCTTGTAACTCATTACACAAACCCCTCATCCCTAGGGCCCAAGAGCCAAAGCACTAGCCTCCACCGACCCCACCTTCATAAATATTTCATTAGACCGGCCAGTCCCCAGGGCCCACTAGAGCAGAAAAGGGATATTGTTTTGAGACTCAGCAGGCTCGTGGAACCTTTAAATGACCACACACACACTCCACTGCCCTCAATTTTGCCCCCTTGGGGTAAACAAAGGATTCATCTCCGTTTGTGCTGGGAGCTGCAAGCCTAAGAACATGTGAATGCAAGCGGCGGGGAGAGGCTCTAGGGGTCAAGGCCATCGCAGAAGAGCCTCCTCCAGTGTTCCCACCCTCCCTACACTCACAGGCCACCAGCTGAGGCTAGTCCTAGATAGTAGGCCTCAAGAAACCACAAGGTCGGCTGGTGTTGACTCCTACTTAGGCGGTGGCATCTCCTGGAAGCCAACTGAGAAGAACCCAAGCCAAGGCCCCCGCCCCGCGGCCTCAGCTGGACTCTCCCTCCCGAGTCCTGGACTCCTAATAAAGAAAGGAGACTGCTATCCAGATAGCGGAACGCTGGCAGTCCGGGCCCTGAACGCCCCCCACCACCAGTGTCCCTGCGATGGCACTCACGCTCTGGTCTTCGTCCTCGCTGCGCATGTGGTCCGCAATGAAGCGCACTCCATCGACCGCCTCTCGGAGGCCGCAGCCACATGATGCCCCTGAGCCAGCTACCAGAGCAGGCTCAGTCCCTAAGGCACCGGCCAAGCCCTGGACAGACGCTTGGTTGACGAAGCAAGTGCAAGAGCCAGCCCCCGGGGCTTCGCGGAAGAAGACTGAGGCGCCTGCGCCCTCGCGCTCACGCTGGCGCCGCCGTAGGCGCAGGCGCTGACGGGCGCAATGGTGGCGCGGCTGCTGCATAAAGAGCAGTGCCGGCAGCTTCTCCAGGAAGACAACCTTGACCCAGGGCGCCATGGTATGCGTGGTGGGGGAGCGATGGTGCACATTGAGCACGCACACGCTGGTGACGATGGAGAAGGTGACGAGTACCATGGTGAACATGAGGTACTTGCCAACGAGGGGCACGTCCAGGGAAGTGGGCGGCACGATCTTGGAGATGAGCAACAGGAAGACAGTGAGCGCCAGCAACACTGAGATGCACAGAGTCATCTTCTCGCCGCAGTCCGATGGCAGATAGAAAACAAGGATGGCCAGTGAGGTGATGAGCACGCAGGGGATGATGAGGTTGATGGTGTAGAAGAGTGGCTTGCGGCGGATGATGAAATCATAAGTGATGTCCACATAGGTAGAGTCGTCAGGGTTCTCATTGCGCCTGCCTGGCAGTGCCACGATGTCCCACTCACCACTGGGTGTAAAGTCATCCAGGCTGGCTACGTCACTCTTGAGAACCAAGTCGATCTCAGTGCGGTCGTAGGTCCATGAGCGAAACTTCATGGTGCAGTTTTGCTGGTCAAATGGGAAGTGCTTGACTTCGATCTTGCATGCACTCTTGTAGATTGCCGGCGGAAGCCAGAAAATGCTACCGTCATAGGAGACCACAGCATTGGAATAGAAGGACACCTCGTACATGCCGTCAGCACTGCCAGGGGATAGGCACAGTCATCACTGGCCTGAGCGTTCTTTCACCCCTACTCATCAACCCAGCCCTGAGTGGGAGGGGAGGAAAGGCACAGGGAGACAGGAGTAGACCCAGATGGTAACCATCCAGCAGTGTGGAGAAGGTGCTGGAACTGAGCAAAATGGGGATAGAAGTGGGTTGCTGGGGATAAAAAGATGTCTCGTCAGGAGGCCTGTGTGGCCTCTCGGAGGTAGAATAGGGTGGACAGAGGGTGGGGCAGGATACTTCTTATTCATTGTGTAATTTGATTGCTTCACATGAAGGTGGAGGGATTGGGGAAACCAAGGAGGCCAGAATGAGAGACCCCAAGCAGTGTGTGTGTGGGCGAGGGGGGGGGCGGGGGGAGTATACAGAGCTGGATGGGAACAAGGGATGGCCCCATCAGTGAAGGGAGGTAGTTTTGTATCTTGGAGATGAGAAGGATTGTTACAGGAGATGGGATCGAACTGGAATGGGATGGAGTAGAAAACTGGGATCTGAAGGTTCTTTGATCCTCCCAGCCTTCCAGGAAAGCCTTCTCTTGAATCAGTTTAGGCACTGGGGGCTGTCAATCCTTGTTTGTACCCCTATAACTGCAACAATGGGAGCCCTAATTGGCTAGGTGGGGGCTAGCCGTGGCTCTGTCTTTTTGTTGGGTAATGACTGTCCGTGTACCTGCCAATAAAAAGTTCCTTTCCTTCCTCACCATGTGCTAATTTCTTTGACTTTCTCCATGTCCCCTTCCCTGCCTAAGCACTCTCACAGTCTCCTCCATCCTTCCTATTGACTTAGGGTCACCTACTTGTTGTACAGGACCACATCTGGGAGCCAGATGTGCTTAGATGGGAGCCGAACTTTCTTCATGTTGTCAAACTCTTCAGGCTTCCAGGTAAGGCGGTAATCCTCCCACTCCTGGAGAAGGGAGAAAGAGAAACAGCATCCAACTCTGTCCTGGGAGGTGCTCAAGATCAAGGACAGGGACAAAAAGGACTACAATTGGCTTGAGGAAGCTTTTAAAAGCCACTTTCCCCACAGTGACTTCTCTACCCAGTAAGTGGGGTTCATAAAACACTTTCTCATTTAATTTGCACAGCTAAGCCAAGATATTAGAATCTACATTTTACAAAGAAGAAAATGGGTCTTGGAGAGTTTAACGTGTTCAAAGTCACGGAGCTGGTAAGTGGCAGAACTAAGATTCAAATCCAGTAATTTATGATTGCAAAATGTATCCCTTTTGACTGCTTTTGAGGATATTTAAAGGAAACGCACAGGCAAGAAGGGATTCGGACGAGATAGCCAAGGGTGTGGCTGGGAGAACTAACCTGAGTCAGCCAGACATTGGTGGTCATGATCTGCTCCCGCTCATGCTGTGAAGAAGAGAAGCTGCTGAGCAGACCTGCAACCTGTTACCCACTGCTCCCTACACCCCTCCTAAACCTCCCCAAGCCCAAGGAGCTTCAGAGGCATCAGCACAAACATGCACACATTCCAGCTACGCTGACTTTAGAAGCTGGGCAGAGTTTGGGACCCGCCACTCACCACACTGATGAGCTGGGCCAGTGACACCATGAGCTGTACCGTCACCAGCTCAGAGCCATTAGTGGCTGGGCGGATGAGCTTGTTGTAACGAGAAGGATCCAACAGATGCTCCACCAGTCTCTCCTCTGTATCTGTACCCCAGGCCCCTGGGCAGGAAAGGGCAGGAGATAAGTAGGCTAAAAGGGAATCCTCCTCTACCCAAGAAAGTGGGACAATCCAGGCTTAACCAGTAAGCTATAGCTTTCCACTGTTTCATCCCTAAGAAAATCAAAACCAAACCAACTGTCAAGTTGATTCCAACTCACTGTAACCCTTTTTCATTACGTTTCTGAGGTTGTAAATCTTTACAGAAGCAGAAAGCCTCATCTTTCTCCTGCAGAGCAACTAGCTGGTGTAGTTGAACCACCAACTTAACCCACTGCACCACCTTACTCCATCACCACGGGTACTGTAAAATGCTTACATTACACCATAAAGGTCCAAGATCAAGACCCTCACAGAGAAGCCACTCTCTGAGATCACTAAGAAGCCCAGAGGTCCATAAAGATACTTTCAGACAAAAACCCACTCTATAGTGATTAGCAGACACCTACAAGAAAGTGGAAGAGCCCACCACCACCACCACCACCACCACCACTGATTGATACAGTAGCAATAGCAATGGCTCAAACATAAGGATTGTGAGGATGGAGCAAGATGGAGCAGTGTTTCATTCTGTTATGCATAAAGTTGCTATGAGTTGGAACTGACTCCATGTGGCACCTAACAACTGCTCCCATAAAATCTCAAAGGTTGGGTTTGAAGCCTTGAGATTTCTGCTTCTGCGAATTCCCTCCAGTAGATGCCAATGACATAAAGGGAAGTTTTAGAGTCATGAAAGAAAAAACAGTTATTAATGTCCCATAGCACTTTTTCTCCTTAGTGGCCCTTTATATGTACAGGTAACTTCCTGTGTTTCCCCATGTGACTGTAGACATAATCCTCACCCACATCCAAAAAAAACCATTGGGTTGAAGCAGACTATTTGGGTTGCCTGAGCTCTGTGTCAGGGCATACAAGTTCCACGTATACAGGAACCCAGCACCCATGAGATGACATGGGAGTGTGGAAAGTCATTCAGCTGTACCTTCCCTCTTTATACCTGCCTCTCCACACATCCTTCTGCAACTCTTCACTCACAATCCTACCCTCCCCACCCCATCTCCCCACCTCTTTGAGCACTGCTTTCTTGCCATCAGCTTTGCAGAGTTTTTTCTTTTCTTTTCAAGGTCTCCCATCCCACCCTACAAGAGGGTTGAGAAGTCAGTTGTGGGGTGACCAGACTTGGAAGCGCACAGTTGTTGTTAAGTGCTATGGAGTGGGTTTCAACTCATAGCGGCCCTGTATAGGGTTTCCAAGGAGCAGCTGGTGGGTTCGAACCACCAGCCTTGCAGTTACCAGTCGGAGTGTGGTGGTGGTGGTGGTGGGGGAACCAGGTAAATTTCTTGAGAAAATGTTTCACAAAAAACCAAATAGCATCTCAGCTGCAGTCCGCGCTTGTCCTCTGTCACTCCAGAAAGCCTAGGGTAGGTTCCTCTCTGTGCCCACACCATCCTTCCACCACTGCCCAGGTTTCCATATCTCTGTTGTATCACTTACTCCTTCGGATATCTTCTACCCCCCATTTCAATCTCCTAGGTGCTCCCTTCAGTCCCCTGGGGCCTCTCCCCTAACCCCACAGAGATCACCTTCCATCCCACCTTCTGCTCTGGTAGTGATGAGACAGAACGCAACGAACCTTGAGCCACTGGCCGGTGGACCTGGCCGGTGTTCGTCCTTACCTGGGCACAGTCCGAGGAGGCCGAAACTGAGAAGCAGTGCCATGGGGCCGGAGCGCCGGGCCATTCTTCGGGCATAGCTCGCTGTCTCACCCAAATCACTCGAGCGCGCCTCGGGCTGGAGGGCCGCGGGCGGGGCGCTGTCCGTGGTGCTGAAGCCGCACCCGCGCCGCCAGAGGTTGGCTAGAGTTGGGCCCAGATTGATGCTCACGGCCTCAGGTGGACGCCCCAACGATTCCGGGGCGGGGGTCAAGAGTCAAGAAGTGGGATGCGGGAAGGAACCAGCTTCTCGCTAACGCCGGTCTGAGCGGGCGAAGCGTTTGCCTGTTCTTCTTGGGACGGTGAGGGGGAGGAGTCTCCGCCCCGGAGGCGGAAATGCCGGGTCTTAGAAAAAAGGGATTCTCCGGGTAACGTGTCCTTTGACTGGTCCTGCCCAGTTAGGGTGGGTGTGAGACGAAAAAGAATGGTGCACTGGAACGTGGAATTCTAAGACCTGGTAGTCGGCGGGTGGGGGTGGGAATCCGTGTGTGTGTGTGCGTGTGCGTGTGTGTGTCTAGAGGGGAGGCGGCAGTTGTTGGGAAGGGACACAAGGTCGGTGGGAAGAAGCAGCCCTAATAATCAACTGAGTAAGGCCCACTTAGGGGGACAGGCAGAATAATGGGCCGCACTCAGGAGGACCAGGAGCTTATAGGGTTTCCTGTCTTTTTTCCACACCAAATTCCAAATGATCCTGCCCTCTGTGAGGGTTGATGATACTGCAAGTTATTTCTTTGCTTAAAGCCCTTGACTGTTCCTTGCAAGATCCTACTAGGCCAGAGTAGCCAACCTGTTCACCTTGGCCTCTACTGTCACTTCTCAAGTTCCCCAGCTTCTTTTTTATTGTTTTTGTTAAGTGCTTTCGAGTCTCTTCAGACTTACTGCAAGTTTAATTCTCCAATTCCAGGTTGACAGGGAGTGAGTGTTCTGAACACAACCATCCAGTAGCCAAGGAGAGCTGAAACATCCTCCCTCCTCATCTCTCCCTTGCCCCCTCAGCTTCAAGGCAAAATGGTGACTGGGCAAAGTTTTGGTAGAACACACACATTGCTTCTGATGGCAAGGATTGTTCTCTCTTGAAAAACATGATAATCAATGTTGTTTTCCTTTATTTAAGATGTTTTCATTAGTTTTTATTATATCAAAGCTCTACATGGTCATGAAGACCAATTGGAAAATACAAATTAACAAAACAAAGTAAGTAACAAATAGATTCATAAGTCCACTTCCTAGAAAAATGCAAAATATTGTTAGAACTTTATACTTACATATCCAAATTTATCTATTTATGTTTACTTTGATACAACAAAGAAAAGTATATCTACATATGAGTTATATATATATATATGTATTTTTATCCACAAATAAATGTAAAACTAGACAAACATTCATAGCACATGGTTGTTAGGTGATGTCAAGTCAGCTTTAACACAAAACAACCCTAGGTACAACAGAATGAAATGTTGCCCGATCCTGTACATCCTCACAATCAGTGCTATGTTTAAGCCCATTGTTGTAGCCACTGTGTCAATATAAACACATTTGTATACTCGTGCCCAAATTTTTTAAATAAGATATAACCAGTTATTTCAAAAGTTCTCATCTTTCTCCCTGCCATTCATTATTCCCTTCTCTTCAAAAGTAATCTCATAAGGGGAAGGGGATGGGAGAGTAGGGAGAGTGAGTGCTTAGTGGGGCTAGGGTTTGTTTGGGATGAGGAGCAAGTGCAGGAATAGTGGTGATGGTAGCACAACATTGTGAGTATACATCATGACACTGAATTGGACACCTAAAAATGCAAAATGATAAATTTAATGTTATGTGTATTTTACCACAATAAAAAATATATAATGAAACCAACTAAAGATAAAATATAAAAAAATTACCAAAGACTAATGGACTACATGAAACACAACCTCCACTACCCTGAAATCAGAAGAACTAGATGGTGCCCAGCTGCCACTACCAATTGCTCTGATTGGGACCACAGATGGCCCTGAACAGAATGAGAAAAAAAGTAGAACAAATTCAAAATCATAAATAAGACCAGACTTGCCAGTCTAATAGCTACTGATGGAACACCCGAGACTAGGTCCATAGACACTCTTCAAACTTGGAACTGATCCCACACTGAGGGATCGTCATGCAACCAAACAATATTCAAGCTTACAAAGTGAACAATAACATTTGTGAGGAATGTACTTCTTAGAATAATCAATCCAACAAGACCAAAGGAGCAACATCTGCCCCAAAACAAAGCTCGAAATGTAAGAATTGACAGGAAAGGATGAATGGAAACAGGCAACCCAGAGAGGAAGCGGGAAGAGTCCTGTTACATCAAAGGAATTGCAACCAAAACTAATGTTACCAAACAAAATGTGTACAAATTGTTGAATGGAAAACTAATTTGTTCAGTAAACTTTCACCCAACCACAATTTTTAAAAAAGAAGAAGAAGAACCACTATTCTCATTCTGTTTCTGTAGGTTCAGCACTGGACTGCAAACCACAAGGCCAGCAGTTAAAACCCAATAACTACTCCTCAGAAATCATATACTGAATCGCTATGAGTTGGAACTGATCCAATAGCACTTAACAGCAACATTCTCACTTCTAACAACATAGATTGATTTTGCCTGCTTTTTAATTTTATGTAGATAAAATCATAAACTTTTGTCATATATATATATAGTTACTTAGTTAGTTAGTTAGTTAGTTAGTTAGTTAGTTAGTTAGTTAGTTAGTTAGTTAGTTAGTGAGAATCATGGATGTTGTATAATGTAGTTGTAATTCACTTAATTTCATTGCTGTAGAGAGAGTATTCCATTGTATGAATATACCAGTTTATCCATTCCACTACTGATGGGTATTTGGGTTGTTTATTATTTTGGACTACCATTTTAAGAGATTATTATTGCTTATAGTATTAGTTTTAAAATATGACCTTGAACACTGTTGCTGTTGTTTAGTGCCATCAAGTTGATTCTGACTCACAGCGATCCTATATAGGGATTTTGAGGAGTGGCTGGTGAGTCTGAACCACCAACCTTGTAGTTCACTCTGACCTTGTGGTCCAGTGCTTATCCTACAGTACCACACAAGGACTCTGACCTTGAACATATCCTACCTGAATTTAGAGATCATCTCAAGAACAGATTTGATTCATTAGATACTAATGACCAAAGACCAGAAGAGTTGTGGAATGACATCAAAAACATAATACAGGAAGAAAGCAAAATCTCATTAAGAAGAAAAGAAAGAAGGAAAAGATCAAAATGAATGTTGAAAAAGATTCTGAAATTTCCTTTCCAGCACAGAGATACTAAAGTAAATGGAAGACATGAGGAAGTAAAAGAACTGAACAGAAATTTCAAAGGCTAGCTCAAGAAGACAAAGTCAAGTATTATAAAGAAACGTATAAACACCCAGAAATGTATAGACAACCAAAAGGGAAGAACATGCTCAGCATTTCTCAGCCTGAAAGAAGTGAAGAAAACAATCAAGCTTTTACCTGCAATATTGAATGACTCTATGGATAAAATATTGAATGAGGCAGGAAACATCAAAAGAAGATAAAAGGAATACACAGAGTCATTGTACCAAAAGAAATGGTCAATGTTCAACCATTTCAAGAGATAGCATATAATCAAGAGCCAATGGTACTGAAGGAAGAAGTCCAAGGTGCACTGAAGGCATTGACAAAGAGCAAGCCTCCAGGAATTAATGGAGTACAAATTGAAATCTTTCAACAAACTCTTTCCTCTCTATATAAATAAAGTTTGTGATCATTTTTTTTTCATCTCTTTAAAGAATTATGTTGGAATCTGGATTGGGATTGTGTTTTATCTATAGATTTCTTTGGGTAGTGACATTTTCACAATGATAAGCCTACCTTCCATAAGCCTGGTATGTACTTCCATTTTTGTAAATCTCTTTTGGTTTCTTGTAGTAGTATTTAGTAGCTTGTTAGTATAGGTCTTTTGTTTCTCTGGTTAGATTTATTACTAAGTATCTTATCCTTTGAGTGACTATTGTAAATGGTGTTGTTTTCCTAATTTTCTTTTCAGATCTGTCTTTATTAATATAGAGGAACCTAACTGATTTTTGTATATTGATCTTGTACCCTATCACTTTGCTGAATCTTTCAATGAGTTCCAATTTTCTTGCTGAATCTTTGGGAATTTCTATGTATAAGATCTCATCATCTGCAAATAGAAAAAATTTTACTTCTTTGCCAACTTGGATGCCTTTAATGTCCCTTTCTTGCCATATAGCCCTGGCTAAGACTTCCAACATAATATTAAATAGGAGTGGTCATAAAGGGCATCCTTGTCTGGATTCTGCTCTTAATGATAATGCTTTCAATTTCTCTCCATTAAGAGTAAAACTGGCTGTTGGTTTTGTATATATGCTCCCAATTATGCTGAGGAATTTCCCTTCAATTCCTACTTTGCTGAGTGTTTTTATCAAGAATGGATGTTGGATTTTGTCAAATGTCTTTCCTGCATCAATCGATATGATCATGTGGTTCTTGCCCCTTTTTTATTTATGTATTGGATTATGTTGTTTGATTATGATCCATCTTGCATCCCTGGTATGAATCCCACTTGGTTATGATGTATTATGTTTTGATATGTTGTTAAATTCTATTGGCTAGGATTTTGTTGAAAAGTTCTGCATCTATGTTCATTAGGGATATTGGTCTATAATTTTCTTTTTTAGTGACGTCCTTCCCTAGTTTTGTTATAAGGGTTATGCTCACTTCATAAAACATATTTGAGAGTTTCCCATAATTTCCTATGTTCTGAAATAATTTGAATAAAACTGGTGTCAACTTTTCTCTGAGTGTTGGGTAAAATTCACCACTAAAGACATCTGGACCTGGACTTTGGGGAAGGGGATAGACCTTTATTCACCTGATCAACTTCTTCATTTGTTGTAGGTCTAGTCAAATTTTCTACTTTACTCTGTGTCAGCTTAGGGAGGTCATGTTTTTCAAGGAACATATCTGTTTCTTCTAGATTATCAAATTTATTGGAGTACAATTCTTCATATTATTTTATTATCCTTTCTGCTTCTGTTTGTTCTGTTGTGATGTCATTCATATTGTTTCTTATGTGTGTTATT